TGCCGATATATTTTAATAAATTGCATATCTTTTAATAAAATGTTAATATTTTTCGATATAATTTTATTACATTTATTGCTATTAAGTTTTCTATTTGAACTGAAAGGTAAATGTTACGGTATTTATCTTTTCTATTCTATAAATTATTAACATTTCCAATACTACTACTAAACATAATTATTCTCCTAAAAATAAAACAAAATACAACATACTTCCATTTAAAAAAAAAAAAAAAAATTGAGAGATTACACTGAAGTTATTGAAAAAATGTACACTCAAAAATTAATTAGTGCTGATATATTATGGCTCCCTCTAATATCGCAAAATTTTCATAAACGATGCTCTATCATATGTCCAAAAATAATAGACATAATTAAGATGATCGATGTTATCGGTTCACCCTCTATTAGTCTATCAGCCTATACCTAAGTGTCTCATTTATCCTTCTACATCTCAATGCTTCTCTTAATTTCGCCCTACATACCGAATGCTATTTTTATCTCGATAAAGCACTCTATTAGCCTCCCATCCTGTTTCTTTGTTTTCCTGCCCACTAAGAAGTTTATCACGTAAATATTGTATTTTCCATTAGCCCTATACCTATTTGGTTTTATGAGATGATTACTTCTTCTTCCAGCTTCTCGTTTTATTTCTCCGCCGGTATTTTCTTATAGCCTTACACGAGATTCTCATCAGAGTGGCCTTACTCTCCTGTTTTCCAATTTCTCAGCATCTCTTCTGCACATACTCTATCGCAGATGTTTTTCGTGTAGCCTTCTCCATCACTTACGTACCTGTAGATCACGAGATCCCTCATTGGAATATCATCCACTTCTTTTCTCTCTTCAATCCTCTATTAACGCTAGAACTACCGGTCTTTAATGGGTACCTAACTATAACGTGCACAGATTATAGTAATTTCAGCGGTGCGATGAATATGAGCGAATATATGGATTACAGTTCTTTCTTAACCCATTCGAGATGGCGATTTTTTCGTTAAAAGAAAAATAGTAATTCGAAGACTTTCTGCCATAAGGTCGACGATATTTTTGAAACGGTAAATAATAATAGTAATAATAATAATAATAATAATAATAAAACGTAGAATTATTTTACATCGATATTCCACGCATCGTTGGGCAATCTTAAATTCGAGATATTAATTAACATTCATCACTAGAATCTTATTAAATGGTGACCGAGAGGCGCCTCTCGAGTGCAAAGAGTTAATATGAGTTGATACCAATTTTATTCTTAAAGCAGGTGTATGTGTTCGGTGATTGCAAAAAGGAAAATTCTGGGACCAGTCATTTTCACTGGGTTGGTAGTTCTAGTGTTAACCCATTGACATACAATGACGTCTGGAAGACGTCATCCATTTCACGTGTCATTATAGACTTTGACGTCTCCGAGATGTTTCTTAAAAACTATTTCTGACGAACAGTATATCGTGCAGTATACTATTAACCCTTCTCGTTCGACGATTTTTTGGCTGAAGAAGGATACGAGTTGAAAAATTTGCTGGTATAAGGCTGATGATATTTTTTGAGCAGTAAATAAGAAATCGTATAATAACTAACACCTAGGATTATTTAATTTCGATACCTTGCACACTGTTGCATTATTATAAATTTGATATATTAATTAATGTAAAAAATAATTCGAAATTTTATCAAATGGTGACTGGAAGGCACCTCTCGAATGCAAAGGGTTGACACTTTGACTGCCACGTTGGTCATATATGACTAGCCACGGTTTCTCTATTGGTGGTCATTGATGACCGGATCTTCGTATGCTTTGAATAATAAAAATACTTCCGTGGCGTCCTGAGCGAAACATGTGATTTCGGCGTGGCAGTCAAAGGGTTAAATAGTATTTTTCGAATTCCATTTTATTTGTACGTCAAGGGGTTAATTCTTCTCTTCTTCCGTGTCTCCATATCATTTATCCATTTCCTTCCCAAGTGTCTCTCCATCTCTACATCTTTTCCTGCTGCATTTACTATTTCTCTAAAGTGGCTATGGCACCCTATCTCGATGCTCTTGTTTCCATTCTTCCACCTTTCCTTCCTCTGTCCACAGCTCTCCAAGCCCCCCTATCGCATCTGATCTACCTGATCTACTTCAAGAAGCTTCCTGATCCTTTCTTCGTCCTCCTTGGACTAGCTCTTTTTATTTTTTCACCTTTTCTTTTCGTTATATTCTTTTCCCTTTCGTTATCTCTCTGGTTTGCTCTTCCATTTACTTAATCGATCCTTTCACAACTGTTTCCTGATCCTGTGCTGTGTCACACTTTGACTCCCCTTCTCTTATCGCGGTCTGTTTCACCGTCCTCCATGTAACAACTCCTCTGCTCCGAGCGATAGCTTTTCAATTGAAGTTAAATTCTTTGGTACATTACAAACTTATTAATACAGAGATTTGGATATTGAACCATCACATTCGATACATCAGTGATAAGTTGTATACACTGTTGTTTATGCAGCTGTCGTAGCACATTATACGATACTTTTTCAGTCCTTAGAGACGTTAGTTTTTATACTCCATTGCAGTATTTTATCTGATTTTTGCACTATACATTTGTTATATGCACCGTTACTTGTCAATGCTGAACATTATTAAATCCTTGCGACTTTCGAGCTTAAATGAGAAAGAATAGTTCTATATTTCACAAATTCAGCTCAATTTCGTCATATCGATTTAAAACATACTTCAAAAACGTGTTGAGCATTTTTCAATTGCAAATTTGTTACTGACAGTGTTAAAAGTGATTGTATAGTTATGATGAAATTGAATTGCAACCACGAATCGTATAATTGATAAAATAACTGAACCTGTCTAATAACATTACTTGTTATTCGAACAAATGTGTATAACATAATTACTCGATTTGTAAAATTGTCATGTGAAACATGCTCCCAGAGTATATATAATTTGCACAGTAATTTGTTCACTGTCTGCTTGCAACTATAATATAGAACGAAATTATCTCGCAGAGTGTTGATCAAAATAGTGTTCAAACTTTATCGATAATACATTAGGTTGACGCAAATTTTCTTGTCTTGAGTAGCAAGACCGCACCATTTTTGTACGTTTCAAAGGTTATTTTACTCAGCACTGCTATTTGCGTATATAAATAGGGTTATTGGTCTAGCTGAAAGTTTATCTGTTAGTATTGCACATGTCTGGTTTGTCATCACGATTTAGTTTTACGTGTGCGAGAATACGTATATACAGTCTACCAAGTTCGAGCCCTACTAGATATTAGGCCACTCTACTCAGTTGCGCCCTCTAGCATTTATATACGCGTTGCGCTTAAGAGCAACAAAGAACACTAGTATGTTGGTCTCTTTTCCGGAGTTTTCGACTAGCGTAGGACATTACAGTATTAGTTTAGAGAGCACTAGATCTCTTCTATCTTCGCATGACTCGAATTATTAGACAGTAATAATTTCATACTTAACTTAAACATCGCTCGACTTAACGTTTGTTCAAATGCTTGCTTCTGCATGCCCCTTTGATATTTCGTTTCTTACCGAGGTGGCAGAACAGAGCGTCTTGCAAATGGATTTTAAATTATTCATAAAAATTATCGATCGAATTAACGAGTAAATAATATAACAAATTTATTTTTGAGGAAATTTTGAAATTTGTAACGAATAAAAATCACACGAGGTGCATTCTGAAAACGCTCTGTAATGCTGTGGGTGTTTATTCACGCTCTAACCAACATTGTATACTATTCGTATAGAACTTTTACTAACTTGCCAGAAATTTTCAAATACCATTTTCAGGAAAAATATGATAATTGAATTTATTAAATACGAAATGTATCGTTGTTAGAAAGAAAATTTGGTAGTCGGTATATTTTTTCTGTTTTAATCAATGGAGATCTGGTATTTGGAAACCCATGGCTTATGGGGTAGATGAAAATATGTATATACCTACAAATATATGGCGTTTGTCCTAATGTTAGTAATTCTCCCCTTCGTGTCCCCATATTTATACATAGATATTCATACATGTTTCAGTGTATATTAATAATTATTATGTACATACCGATCATTTTCTAGTGTGTGAGAAATACTGTAATAATTTGGTCTTAAAAGTAAGAATTTCTTTTATTTTCTAATTTATTTATTTTTATAATATATATTATAATATATCAATTTTTAACAAAATTATTATGAAAATATAAATTTGCCAATAAATTAATTTCCTAAAAATTAATATATTTTCACTTTAAGAATGCTAAAATTTCAAAATAAATTTTATTTAAAAGTTAGTAGAATATTTCTACTTCATTAGAGAATAATAAATAGAGAAAAAATAATTCCATACCTAGAATTAAAAATGCATATTTAGCTATTAAATTTTTATACATATTAAAGGAAATACATGTAATTAATATAATAAAATTAATTACATATTTGTTAATTTTTATTTAAAATTACTCTTTACAATATTTCTCACACCTAAAAATATACGTTATTAATTCCAGTAATATTTTAGATTAAAATATTAATTGATTATTTCAAGTTTTTATTTAACTAATACCACATGTATGTACATGTTCATTTGTTTATTATTTATCCTGCTTGATATCATTCTTTATGTGTAATATCTAGGATGTATAATATAATTCCTACTTATAGTTTCAATTAATATAAATATTATTCCCTTAGTTTACCAACTACTTTATTCACATCGTGTAACTCTGTACTTCTAAGTTATTTTGATGGAATTTCCTCGAAATATTTATTGTATTTTATTTTACGCGTCTTAAATTACAAAATTCAATGCTGGAATATTTAATTTGCGATATTATACATATATATATATATGCTTTGCCTTATTTGTTGAGCACTCGTTTATGTATATTTTGTTCTGAAATCACTACTTTATGTGTAAATGTTTCGTATTTGTGAGTAAAAGTAACCCACGATATCGTTTACTATTACTATCGAAAAACATGGAATATTATGCAAAACTTCGTCTTAGGTTATGCTTCACGAAGTTGAAGTTGTTGCTGTTGGCAATCGAGATAAAGGGCGAAGGAGGTGGCGACAGTAAGATTTCAATTAATCCACGTGGTGCCAAGATCGTAGCAAATACTCAGGGATTCTTCATTGCTCAATCTGCCGACGAAGTGAAACGGTAAGAATAAATTCTTTTTATGAAAACATTTTCTTGAAAACATGGTTTAGCGACATTATCAGTGCTAAAGCTACCAAATGGCTTAAAATAACTTATTTCAGACTTTCTATTTTTGCAATTGCTGAAAATATGCGACCGATTTTGGCAAAGTTAATGTTGATTTTTAATAAACCAAATAATATGGTCCGTCATTTTTGATATACCACTTTAATCGATGTCAATTCTGCATACTATATTTAAGCACAAAGTACAGATATACAGTAATTCTTGTGTAAAAACAAAATTTTTAGTTTTGCATTTTAATTACTGGGCAGAAAAGTAGAGAAAAGCTATATTGAGATATTGTATTTTTCATAATTTGAGACAAAAATGGTATTAATTTCAGAACAGATTTTTATTATAGATATTTTTCAACTCTGTATACTTAGAAATTATAAAAATGGTTTGTAGCATCTTAGTAGAAAAAAAAAAAAATAATTCTTGCAGAGAATTTAAAAAATTTTCAATGAAATTATATCAATTTGAATAATTTCAATAAATGAATAGCTAATAAAAAAGAAAGTAATATTCCAAAAAAATTTTGTTTTATTTGTTTTATTTTATTTCAATTTCGTGTATGCTTTTAATAGAAATAGTACTTTCTGAAGTAAGTATCTTTATATAATATATGTGCACAAATTGTGTAAATACACTAATACCTGGACAGGTGATCACGCATGATGTGCAATCATAATCACTTAACCGGGTTAAATGAATGAGAATTTTGCAATAGAGAATACGATATTTTTGAACTTTTAATAATTCACTCATCGATGTAAATTCAAACTTTTATATTTTTAATAAAGTCTCATAGAACTATTACTATTAAATTACTGAGATTTTCTAATAGAATTACCACTGAAATTATATTAGAAGGTAGTTTTTATAGTCTAAATCTAGTCTAAATTACTCTCCAATTAGATAATTACATTGTAATAATATCACCAAGATATCATCAAATTACATTCAATTACATTTTTATAATTGCATTGCAATACTATTCACGAAAATTTATAAGAATATTATTTAGAAAATCATTACTTTAGAAACCTTATCCAAATCTTGCTTTAGAAACAAGTTAAGCTAACAAGTTAAAATTCTTATTTAAAAAATTCATCTCGTTAGTAATAATGTATAAAATATAAATGTTTTCATACATCTTAAAGATTGTTTCAATCATGTAGAATATTTCAGATAACTAAAATATATAAAATATTGCATTGTAATAATGAAAACTCGTATCTCTGATAAATAAATCTATTACTAAAATAAATAAAATAAATAAAATTACTTGAAATTACTCAGTAATAATTTTCTCACTTATGAGCACTGTTAAAAAGAGCAAAATAAATTTTTGCATTAATCATTTTCCATACACGAAGTATAATCAATCACCGTAAATTTAAAGAATTAAAAGAATAAAGTTAAAAGTTAATAAAATATAACTAATCGTTGCATGTATATATTTGCAGGGCGTGGTTCTATTGCAAAGCATGCCACGAGGATATTAAAGACGAAACTCTGATCAAGAAGTGCAAGTGCAAAAATTGTAAGTCTTCCTAGTCTAGTGATAGCCCTTAATGACAAATTTTAATTCTCACTGAATTCTCTGCTATCGAATTTCTTATTGAACAAACTCCGTTCTGTCGAAGTTATTTTATATAAATATAATAATTAACGTTACATCTCTCTGTGTACATAGAGCGCGCTAAATGTATCGAAAATATTGCGAATCACACACTGTTCGATCTTAGTTTCCAAGATCAGTTACAGCTATGCGGATCGAAGCTAAGGAAATTCGTGTGACTCGCAAACGATTAACGACTTTTACATAGACTAACGTATAAGACCAGACGAATCACACAGGAAGCTCTCTTTGTCCATGATTCCTTCGCCCTTTCCTCTTTCTTTTTCTCTGTGTCCTTATGCCACTGAAAGCCGTAGCAGTAATTACCGCGACAATTAACGAAGTGACATGGTTGTGACCATCCTCTTGTGATATATGATCTAGTGGGGCAGCAGCAGCGCTCCTGGGGCCGGGACTTAGGTAACGTCTCACACTCGCTCGCTTAGTCTTTACTATCTCGTTTATGACTATCTCCTCTACGTCTTCTTTTCTCTCCATTCCCCACTTTATTTTCCAATTTTTCTCCACATCTTATTCCACTTCTTACTCCACTTCTTTCTTCCCTTCTCTCTCTTCTTCTCTCTCCTCTTCTTTCTCCTTTATTCCGTTTTCTCGCATTCATCTGTGATTCCTAACCTGTACGAATTGAAAAGAAACTTAATTTCTCTAACTCTTATTTTCTATTAACACTGATCGTTACGATTGATTCTATTCTCTTACCTTGTTTAATCTCTTGTTTCTCTTTCCCCTCGTGCCTATATTTTATTCAATCTTCGTCCCCTCTTTTCTCTGTCTATAATCATTGCCTCTTTGCATATTTCTGTCTTTTTGTGTCTTAATTATGTGTACATATGCCTTCGAGTTTTTAACCATTATCTTGCATATATACGCCAAGGCGGTGATGATGATGATTATGACGATGACAATGGCGATGAGATGATTGCACCTTTAATCCTCATTCAGAGACACTGTTCAACGCGATTGCGATGCTACAGTTGGGTATTTATTCGTTTTTCACGGTTTTATTTTCGTTCCGTCGTGTTTCCAATCGTTGTGTTGCAAAGTCGATATTCTAGAACAATGCCGAATTAACTGCACACTTTATGATTCGGTTCTGTATTACCGACAGCTGTTCACGTATTCCTGTGAACGGTATGAGAAGCTTCGATCAAAGATAATTTGATCATTCGAGGCTGAATCAACGAATGTTTTTGGTTGCCACTTGAATAGCGTGACGTGAAAAATGAAATACCACTGATACACACGTGATATGTACCCCCTTATAGTTCTGTCAGTTGGCGCATGTCCACCTGGCCAATCGAGGAAATTAGTCTGCACTCTAGTGTGTGCCCTTCTCGCTCGCCTTGCATGCATTAGTTTCCAAATTCGAATACTTTTACGCCTTAATGATACGACAGCTTCGTACAAAATTCACTCGCTCTCTACTTCTCTGTTTAATAACCCTGAATTCGCCACCCCCTGCCCCCTGTCTTTATCTTTCTGTCTATTTGTCTGTCTATCTGTTTATCACTTTTTATTCTATCTATTCCTCCAGTTCTTGAACTCACTATCGCTATTTACCTTATTCTCTCTTCGATCGTGTGAGAACTTTCAAATGTGCCAGCTGTCATTGATGAAACTCTGTCGGTTAGTAGGTTCGATCGTGAATTAATCGCGTATCTTCAGCGCCATCTACCCCGTCGTTGTCGAAACGTTTCACACTGTTGTGAAAGCGGATCGTTCCTTAGGTACTTTGACGATAATGATTTTTCTATGGAATTTTCTATAACGGGTACAACGAATTACCGTCGTATATCTTTAATTATGAATTCCGTTTTCAACATGATCTGCAACTCTATTTGTTTACATAATGTCACACAATGTATCATACTCACACATGCATTCAGTTCATCTGTGGTCATCTGAACAAAAGGTCTGTACAAGATTCAATCTCCATCATGTTAATCTTAAACCCTGGGCAATCAACGTTTTTTTATCAATTTTTTTCTTTATCTGGTTTATGCGGTGACTTTTATGTTTGATCATTTAAAATTTGCTAGAAAACTTGAGGTTGAATTCAGATACATCGGAGGTAAACAATGTTTGAGGAGCTTTGTAGTTTATTTTTATGCCCTTTATTTAGTGCCCCTTGTCCTGGCTGTAGGAGATAATATCTTGTTGTGATTGAAAATAAATTTGCCAATAATAAAAATAGCTCTATTATTTTTGAATTCATACGTGTATGATAAGTTTCATAAATGAATTTCTTCATCTGTTAGATATTTTATTTGGAAATTTAATTTTATTTGTTAACTATCTTTAAGAAGTAAATAATATTTACTTTATATTATTTGTTGCATCGCAATTCTATTGTACTATAATTTGATATGGTATCTTTACTGGAAAAATTATTTGTCTGTGATGATGCCTTGTATAATTGTAAAGCAAGACATTAATTTATTTACATATCTTCATGTATGAATTTGTGAATTATAACCTAACAGTATATAGGATGCATAACAAGATTTTTTACATGACTTTGGCAACATGTTGTTTGATTAAAGATAAGGTGGAAATTTCATATAAATATAGGTTCACCAAAATACTAAAGATTTACTACTCGCAATTACATTGAAGGTTAATTAAAGCAGAAATAAGAAAGAAATAATATTCAAAATATTAAATGTAACGCATAACTTTGAACATAGATAACTAATCTTCTATAACCTGATCTTATTTGCTTATAAGAACAAAAGCTATAATTTACCGTGTTCTTTTACAGTAATCTGCAAAGCAGTGACTAGCACTTGGTCTGAAAATATTCCAGTGCAATTATATACTGATGAAATATAACAGCTCAGCAGTCAGCAGATAAAATGAAATTACATATGATTACGTACCTTTCAAATTGCAAGGTATATACAATTAAAAGTGCACAGTGATATTAAGGCTTTGAAGTACCATATACCTGTTGTGTTACAACTTGACCAAACAACTGAATACTTGATACAGCGAATAAGATATTTGAACCTATGTTTACATGGCATTTCCATTTCATGTCTAACCACAGAACATGCAGTCAAAGTTCAATGGTAATTTGTAAGATATTTGGTACGTTAAATTGATCTTATACACTTCGTTAACTCTGGTTCCCTGCCCAGCCCCTCTAACCGGCGCTCCTCCTATAACCATCTTCCAGTAACCTCAGTAGAATATCCCTGCGTGTTTACTGACAAACATGTGTCCGGGCCGATCGCTCGATTTTTACAGATGTGGGGATGATGATGATGCAGACTGGCATGGTGAAAGGAAACACTGCCTACAGCAGTTACCTCGACGGTACGCGTCTTTGTACCTTCCTTGTCGTCCTGTTCATCCCAATGCACATCCTTTGTCGAACAGTATCTACGAAATTTTGTCAGAATAATTCTAAAGAAAATTACAGATTCAAAAGTATTCCTGGGGCAACGTATGGTGAAAAGGTTCATTATTCTGACAAATTCTCTCTGTTTGAGTCAACGTTCAGAAATAGGCGTGTATATCAGCTATAGAAACGTGATATTGATTACATACTCGGGTATCGGTGTAGACTATAAAAGATTGACTCAAGCAGAGTTCAGTTGATTTTACGTTTAACTAGGTAAGATGGCGTAAGTGATGCAAACAGTTGTTTTTAACAGTGATGCAAGTTCGATGTTTAATAATTCACCGTCACGTGCACTTACACCACGGTACCTGCGTTTGAACGTTTTATATACTTTGACATCGTTCCATTCGTATTGTTTCTCGCTGGGCTTTTGCTAGAGCTAACATTTGGCGATCATTGTTCTCTGACGAAGCAGCAACGTCGAATCCAAGCTGGACGAAGATCGTTACACGTCGTTTATGTGTACAGAATTGCGTTTAATTCGGGATATTGCTTCAGTTCTCACGAGAAGTCGTCGCTTTTGCAGATATGCTAATTTTGCTAAGCACGTTCTATCAAGTCGTATATTCTGTGTCTACACGTTCCTGGCTGTTACGTTTCACTGATTCAAAGATTTGCTCGTTTCAGGCTTGCCAATGACTATCCGTTTTCTTGAACGTTGTTCGGTGTGCTTACATGAAACAATTTTTTCGTTATTTTTACCACGTTCACGACTCTGATTGACTGTTTTCTTTTTCCTACTTTTTTTTCTTCTTTCGAGCAGTTTTCTCGATTTCGAAGAGTAACGATGAGTTGATCGAACAACTGGTTTGCAGATTGATTTTAATCACGAATCGGTTAGACATCGAGGAGTCTGCTGAGAACATATTGAAGATATTTGATATTTTTGTTTCTCATTTTTGCAGATCATTTTTGGTATACGTGTAAAGCATAGAATGGATACTTGAAATTTTGCTTAATTATTAACTTTTATCGATGAATTTATTTTATTTGCAAATGAAAGAATGTTGCAACATTTTTGTGATTATTATTTCACAAAGATTGCATTTCTTATAATAATAGTATTATTATGTATAACAATAGATTATAGGAAATTTGCTCTGTTCTCCATTTGATATTTTATATTCAAATAATAAGTACAAGATAGATTTTTAGTTTTCAATTTTATTTCCAATTATTAGATTGTAGTAATAAATTCTCTTGATCTTCTTAAGTGAGTTAACGTACAATTATTCAATTGTACTATATAGTCTTTTACATTGTTATATTTCTTCTATGATTCCAGATTTTTATCCTTTTAATTTATTTCCAACTAGTGGTAATTATTAAATTTTGTTAATAAATACGTGACATAAAGTTTTCTACGTTTCAGTTTATATATCAAATAGCAATATCTTTTATCAAACGATATCTCTCTTGCTTATCGTTATCACGATTCAATAACGTTTTATTTGTTTATCTACAAAGAAACAACTTTCCTTCTCTTCTATTTATGTCAACTCGACTATTAAATAGCGCTTATCCAGTTGGTTGCAAACGCATTTCGATGCAGTGTGTCAGATCTACTAATAATTTTAATCACTCTGTTTATATTTCATGCATCAAGGAATTTTCTTTTTCTTTTGAGAGATCTTTGCCTACCACGTTTTTCTAAACCAACTTCTGCACCATTGATGAACACATAACTACTGATACAGTTCAACCATGCATGCGTTAGAAACGAGTTTGTTTTCCGATTAGACGTTAAAACGACTAACAGCATTTAAAATAGACTTGGATTTTGTATACACATGCAATTTTCGTGTGATCGACACCTAGAGAAATACCTATCTATTTGTTAAAACTAACCGATGTTAGATAGAACCGAAACTATGCTTACTTACTTCTTCCATGCAATAACTAGCAAGATTTTGGAGGTTATCTTACGAAAGAGCGGGATATAACTATCGTACGAAGGAGAAAAGTCTATAAACTATAAAATTCACGATCTAGAGTAAAATTAAGTATTCGTAGACAACTTGAGAACAGTTGCCAATGATTATCAGAGTAAACCATACGTCTATCAATGTCTCAGCAAAATGGAGGAAACGTATATCGCAGCAGTGTCAAAGGCTGTCGTGAGACCTCAGACCTACCTGATCCTCTAACTAGAGAGGGAGACTAACTCACGTAGGTGCATCTACGTGAGTCCTGTGTATGTGTGAAGAAGAACCATCGAAATGACTTCTAACCATGACATTTGTATAGTAGCATACCCGTCACATCGTAGTTGAACATGAGTTCCAAGTGAATGCCACCGGTGTAAGCACCTTTAGTTCTAAATTTACACGGATGATGATAATCGATGCCCAGGGTTTATCGAACACACCGATTAAAAATACTTCATTCTCCCCTCACATGTTGCGCATATTTGATATCATTCACCGACATCACAACAATAACGTCGACAATTGCGTTTAATATTTATTAGAAACATAAGAGAATATCTCTGAAAGAGTATCATCGACCACTGTATAAACTCAACATGGGTCGCATACCTACTGTGTATTTTCTGTGCCCCGAACCTTGTACTGGACCGGAGTGACTCGGAACGATTGGCCTAGATCGATATAGCATCGATCCTGAGCTTCTCCGTCGATTGTCACATTTCGTAGCATAGATCCAAGATCTTTTTAAGATCTTTTCCATGCTGAATGCAATTCTATAAAAATTCAAGATACATGTCGAGTTTTATGAGGACACATTTTAATACACTTCGATGTGATTGTGACTTTGATACGCTCTCATGTCGAGTCAAGTCGAGTCAAAATGAAGTCTCACGAGACGATTGACGATGATTGTGTGACACATCGATGGAGACTTCGGTCCTACGCGTGAATCCTCCTCCACCTTTTACCACCAGCCCTCCCACGCATTTAGGTTCACGTTATTTTGGTATAACAACTAACAGCTCTGGTTCTCCTCCCTTCGGGCAGTGGCCACATTCCGGAAAGGCGTACGAGCTGTTCAAGTGGTTGGAAGAGCAAGTATGTATCCCCCGAATGTAGATTGTCTTCCACGTGTCATTCCTTATTTTCTGTTTTCTTTCTTTCCTTTCATTCTTTTTTTTCTCTTTTTTTCTTAGCCTATCCCCATCGTTAAGTAACACGCGACAGTATAATCGATTTTTATTTCTGAAAACAGTTTGTTGGTTTCACGAGACCTTTAAAACGATGCAGCTTCGAGCTTCGAGACTTGGCTGACAATTGAAACGTCTCGTTTTCAAAATTCAATTTGATAGTAGTGATAAATATATGTTTGTGTGGTAATATGATCGAAATATCGTTGGAAGCATAATCGATTTAAAGGTCAGACGCATAAAGATCCTCCTTTCGTTGATCGTTTAATCCGATCATTTGATCATTTTTCGTTCGACGAGATTAACGATTTGAGATACATAGTCGTTGAATGATTTATTGTTTTACACGATACATGTCGGTAACGTATCGATTAGAAGAAGGAAATATGTAACCGAGATTCGTGATGATTGGATAAGAAAGTTTGCAGAAGCTTCTAACAGCTAGAACCAACTGGTTGTCCATGTTTGAGTACTTTAACAGAGCACAACGTTTGGTCGATATTTGCCATAGTTATTGGATAACTGTTGTTTACACGGTGTTTAATTGTTCATTCAAAATTAGACTATATATGATATATAGACATGTTCGTTGTGCTACTTTGTGTAATTTCATCTGAATCGATAATAATTGGTTTCAAAGTAGACTACTGTTAGTGTTTTTGGATTCCTATTTGATGTGATGTCTCTTTATTTCTCTTTTTTTTCTCTTCTTCTTCTTTTCGTTGCAACTGAGATATTACTATTTACTATATTTCTATCGATGTCGTTTTGAATGTAGTTCTCTGGAGGTATGTAAGTGTTTTTCTCGATGGTTATTGTTGTGAGTGAATTATTAAGATTAATCGGCTCAAACTCGCGCGATGTGGTTGCCTTGAGATTTTTTCACTACTTCTAACTTAATCTTGCATCGGTGTTCAATATCTAACTATATCTATTCGACGTGTCTATTTCTTTTTTCAATTTTTTTTCTCCTTTTTTTTACATTTCTGTTAGAGTATCTTAGAATTAGTGTTCATTGCGTGGTTTTTCACTCTCATGACAGAGTCAATGACCGTGCTGAAGAAGTCGTTCCTCGATATCCTGATATTTCCTCGACGATCGCGTTTTCGAAAATATTAAACGAATGTTAACCACTTGCGCTGGAAAGACGTGTCACGCACGTCGTAATGCTTTTGTGACAGAATCGGCAACAACGTGGTATACACGTCGTAATGCTTTTGTCGCCGAATCGCCAACGACGTGGTACACACGTCGTTAGGCAATTGTTACAGAATCGTCAACGACGTGGTAGACACGTCGTAATGCTTTTGTCACAGAATCACCAACAACGTGATATACACATCGTAATGCTTTTGTCACAGAATCGCCAACAACGTGGTATATACGTCGTAATGCTTTTGTCACAGAATCATCAACGACGTGGTATACACGTCGTAATGCTTTTGTCGCCGAATTGCCAACGACGTGGTACACACGTCGTTAGGCAATTGTTACAGAATCGCCAACGACGTGGTACACACGTCGTATTGCTTTTGTCACAGAATCGCCAACGACGTGGTATACACGTCGTAATGCTTTTGTCACAGAATCACCAACAACGTGATATACACGTCGTAATGCTTTTGTCACAGAATCGCCAACAACGTGGTATATACGTCGTAATGCTTTTGTCACAGAATCATCAACGACGTGGTATACACGTCGTAATGCTTTTGTCGCCGAATCGCCAACGACGTGGTACACACGTCGTTAGGCAATTGTTACAGAATCGTCAACGACGTGGTAGACACGTCGTAATGCTTTTGTCACAGAATCACCAACAACGTGGTATACACGTCGTAATGCTTTTGTCACAGAATCGCCAACGACGTGGTACACACGTCGTTAGGCAATTGTTACAGAAACACTGGACCGTTCTGGCACACGCGTTTGTGAATTTCTTGCCACCGCAAGTGGTTAATATCGCGTTAATCGCGTTAAATGCAATATCGCGTATCGAGAATCGTTCGTATCACGGATTTTTCGTGAATCGTCTACTTATTTCAGAGTATAGAGAACGAACAAGTGTTAAGGCATGTATCGAAGTCGTTTCGAGTTTTAGAAAATATCAAGTGAACCGGAACGTTTCCTTCTCCGTTCATATAGTTCATATATAGTAGGAAGGACGACTAAATTCGGATTGTTTCTGCTAATCGAATGCTTTGATACCGAGCTATTCAAGATCGACGGTCTCGATAGTCGTCACGCACATTTTTACGATTTTATGATGATTCAAATCACTCGATCGTGATTTCTTCGGTGGTGATCATGAAGATGGTTCAGTTATTGGTACTTGTTTCATGGGTTATATCGTAGAATTTGAATATCTTTTTATTAGAAGTTAATGAAATTCATAAGTTTTCGCGTATGACAGTGAGCGTTTTGATAATGAAATAAGTAACATTTGGGAAATAAATTTTTTAAGTTGCAAATTAATTGACTGTTCTGTTTCTTTATCAGTGAATTGTAACATTTTAAATGCAATTTGTAAGATTGTAAAATATTTTAGTGAAAATTTTAAAACTATAACATTTCTAGATTTGAAATCTTGGAAGCTGATAAATTTTTAATGAAAATTGTAGATTTATTACGGCTTTTAATAAAAGTTGCAGAAAAGTTTCAAAATGGCAATTTTGTAGTTTTAACATCTTATAATGATCGTAGATTTATCAAATTTTTAAATAAAAATTGCAGAATTGTAATGAAAATTATATAGTTTTAACAACTTTAATCAAAATTGTAGCGCTATAAAATTTGTATGGGGAGATAAAAATTGGAGAATCTTTAATCAAGATTGTATAGAAGTACTAAATTTGTATAAAAATTATAAAACTAAAATTTTTAATAAAAATCGTAGAATAGTCTTTTCAGAGGGAGACTTAAAATTGCAAAATTTTTGGTAAAACATCAAGAATTGTAAAATTCTATATTAAAAACTGGGAAAGTGAGAAATTTTTAGTAAAAATTACAAACTTGAAAGTTTTAAGACACAAAATTACGAAATTATAAAAATTTCAAAAATAAAAATAGAAATTCGGGGAAATTATATTTTTCGAAGAAAGATTCCAAAATCGTAAAATCCTTATCAAAATTTGTAAACTGATAAGCCTTTTAACGACAACGATTAAAAATTTGAAATTTAATTTTAAAATTCCAAAATTCTAAAATTCCAAATACAATTTCTGCGACACAACTCGATGTACGATTCCTAACTAATCGCTCGCGTAACCCTGTTACTTTCCAAACCACGAATAACCCATGAAACAAATATCTCTGTTCTGTATCCAACATTCGTCCACCTTGCGAAAGAAAAAAGAGGAAAAGAAAAGAGAGAAAAAAGAAAAAAGAAAAAAAAATACGAAGAAAGCTGAGAAAAAAGTGAAAATGTGAGCGATGTGCTCGTGTAGTAAAACGGAAGGTAGAAAAATAGAAGGAGGGTAAGAAAAATCAATGGACAGTTTTCACTCGCACCGCTCATCGGAGCCTAACACGATCATACTCTCACCTGTAATTCATCTATGGTACATGCGTGCATATATGTATATCTATGTATATCGTCACAGACATAGACACACACATACACACACGCGCGCGCGCACGCACGCACAGCTCACCCTATATGATTATTCATACATGCGTGCCCGCGGGTTCGTGCACATACACATTATGTACACCGGAACATCAAGAAAGATATTAACTAACTCTCTATGTGTCTATCTGTTTGAACTTTCTTCTCTTCGTCCTCTACTTCTACTTAGGTGAAGACTTCTCGTATGCAAGTAAGTCTAATATAGAGCGGGTGTATAATCAGTATTTATGTACATATGTATGCATACGTTATTACATTGCCGCGAGAGTCTGTACTGATAAGGCATAGATACGTAAGAAGTAGGCTGTACATGGTCACCATTATTACAATACGTATGCTTTATCCGTATGTTTATGGGCACCTTCGATTTACTACACGCTATCGTTACAGTATTATACCATACTCCTGATATGTCGGTTTGGTATATTTTTTTTTTTTTCTTTTTTTTTTCTTTTCTTCGACTTGTCTTTATAAATGTTTGATAAATTTGTAAAGGAAGATCCTTGTCCTTTCGAGAAAGAAATTTATAATAATTACATAAGTATTGTAATTTCATAAATGAAAGGTATTTAAAGAAAAGAATAATTTGTGGATATATTAGTTTCTTCTTTTTTTTCTTTTTTGGTGTTAAAATTATATTTGAAGAAATTGAAGTAATTACTTCGTTTCTTCATTGCGAGTGATTTTAGGAATTTTAAAAAATTTTTTCAGCTCAATTAGTAAAGTTTATTGTGCACGTGTACGTGTGAAAATGTCGAGTCATAATTAAATAGTTTTTAATAAATAAAACGAAGAAATAAAATATTCAATAATTGGATGTAATTTGTAAATTTATAAATTTCGATACAGTCCTTTTCTTTTTTAATATGGGTATTTTTCTACTAAGAATAATAAGTACACGTGTATGAAGTATTGTTTATACTGCAAATGAAAAGAAGAAAGCAATTATATTATTATTATATTATCATTAATCGAATTTCCAAAAATCCTTACTAATGATTTTCAAAAATACTATGAAGATGAATTTTTACAAACAAATCAATAACTAAAAAAGATTCTATATTCTTGCATTCTATGTTGAACTAAAAAAAAAATTTTGAACAGGAAATTACGAAATAAAATATATTATAATATATTTAAAAATATCCAAGAACAACAAGTACTATCAAATAGATGCAAAAATATACAAATCTCTCTAAAGTGATTTCTTAACGATATTAAAAAGATAAGTTGACAAAAATCATAATATATTTATTTATTTAAATAGTAATATAATAATATAATCATGTTATTGAATCAAGTATAATTATATTATTCATACAAATATTACAACTTTTAAAGACTTTATCATTTTTCAGAAATTTTTAAACGTTATAAAACACTTCGTCTTCATAGCAATCACTGGTAACGATTAAACATATTTCCAAAAAATACAAAATAAACATAAAAATAGGAAGCAACCCTCTATAATCGTACACTGTAACAAAAGTTACCATTATAATCAAAGCATCAAAGTCCACGAAACCACTTACTCGAACCAAAAGAAGAAAACTCTAAAAATTACTGTAAAAAATTACAATTAAATTGACAGAACAACAACTCAATGACAAAACAAACGATGACACCACTGAAAAGCCAAATTTAGATATTGCATAAAGCACAAACAAGTAAATCACACGACGTTATAGAGGGTTAGAAAGAACGTACTGGACTCGAAGGTCAAAGGATTTTCTTTTATCAATAACACACTGAATGTACATATGCCTAAACATGCGTGCCTAAACATCAAAATCGAAGAAGTCGATCAGGTACGACGAAATGGAGAACGCGAGGATGTACATAACAGCGTTTAAAGTGGCCTTATACACGCGCGACACTCTTCCCTCTCACGTTAAGCTCCGTATTCCGTTAAGCTTATGTATTAGGAGGCTTAACGACGCTAAATGGCAAAAGAAAAGTGCTCACAAGATAAAGAGCTGCATTCGACTCGCGAATAGTTTTGCAAACGACGAGTTTCACACTACCAGTTCTACACCACCAACGATTTCCCCTTTGTAACTCTGCTTTGACACGGTAGCACCCTATTTTTTTCGGCCACTCTGTCGAGTTTCCCTCAATCTGTCGCACGAGTTTATCTGTCAGAGACTGCACTTGCAATATCGAGTAAATATATTCACACCTTAAGCACGTACTATTGCATGGCACTCACTATTGTACGATAGCGACACACGGTTCATCCGGAGGCAAAGGCACCGGCTAGATATGGCTCTTGTCCGCCATGTTGGATCAAGCAGCCATGGACGTCTATGCCTTCCTCGAGTCCGTTCTCTGCCTCCCTGAATGTCAGCATGAAACGAGTAACGCCTGTGCACAGTGCTTTGTATTTGATTATGACAACTTGTATATAATTCACCACTACTTTAGGCTACATCTGTACAACGCGGAGGAGATTCATGATGTACAGATTGTTTCTCTTTTAATATCGTGCGTTAAATCGTGCCTCCTTTACTTCTGCACTCGTCCGCGTTGCCACGGTCAGCATTCGAAACGGTAGATTTCAAAGTAACTTTTTCATTAGAATATTAATGATAATTTTATTAGAACCAGCTCCCTTCTGGCCAAAGACGTTGATGCTGTTATTCCATGTCCAATATGAGAATTAGCTAGATTCTGTGCGTTTTTCGATTATATTTCCATCACTTAAGGTTGAATAGAGATGCTGAGAGGAATATTATTCTCCTTAAATTTTGGATTTTTCAATTTTTGGAAAAGAAAAGAATATGTGGCCGAATCCCAAATAGAGTCAGCCATATAGCACTGTATTTCGTATAGAGATTTATAATATCTTACAGGTAGTATCTATAGATCCTATAGAAATTTTCTATAGGTCCTGTAGACACTATATACTATATCTATAGAAATCTTTGATATTGTATATATAATACTTGGAAATTACACACGTCTTCATTTTCATAGCCAATTTGACATGGACATGGAATAATCCTTATATTTCTTGAAGCGTTTGCAATTGGAACATGGCATCCAAGGCAAATGCAAAATTCGGAGAAGCTGCCAAACTTTAGAATATACAAAATTTAGGAAAATAAGGATAATTAAGTTAATTAAGCGAAGTAACATTTATCGCATCGTTGGTTTTCAAAAATAAGAGAAAAATCCTTGAAAATTGTTATACTTGTCGATAAAAGGCTGGAACGGAGCTGAAGTTTGATCGATTCAAGCGCAAGCATAGGAATGGCCAGTGGTAGCAATAGCGTAGCAATTAGGCCTTAGATAATTAGTTAGGGTAGCTAACATGTGTAGTGGTTTGTTACAGACGACCACCATCCTCCCCCCACATTCACTCCGCCAGAACTGCCCAAGATGGTTCACGTAAGAGGTACAGTTACACCTCAATAAAAACCGTGCTACAATTTTGCAAGCTGCCCTTCCTAATTTTGATGAACCACACGATATACGGGTACACTGTAATCAATCGCTTTCAGTCTCTTGGACGAAGGAACTCGAAGAGCTGCTTCACGAGAGAAAGTGCTTCGCTCTCGATTGATCTTTAACAACTGTCTGCACTCGGTTTCTGATGTTCTTTTTGTTTTTCTTTTCTCTGCATCATGACGAATACGCTTCACCGACCGATCTCGACTTTTTTCTAGGGATTCGACGTGATGACATTTCGACCGAGATTTTTTCCCAACAGTGCCGGGTTTGAACGTTTTTTGGCAGTGCGTTGGGACAATTGTTTAGAATTCTGGGAACTTTCGAATGGGCGCGTAAATTATTATTATTGGTAAAATTGTCAGTGTAAATAATTTTACTTAAGTCTAAATTATTAGTAATAATTTAGAACAGGTGGTAGTTGGACGAGCACTATTGTTTTAACACGTTCTGTGATGGTGAAGAATTTTTTCGGATTTTCTTAATATTTTCTCATTTTTGGAAATCTTGACATTTTTCTAAAGTAATTTATAGAAATTTAAATGTGATTGATGGTAATGAAATACTTAAGGTTTATGCATGACGCCTTCATTTCTGAAGTAAATAAAGTATTTGAAGATTGGAGATAAATTGTACTGTAAACAATGAAATTATTGTTATATATACATATATATATATATATACATACATACATACATACATACATA